TCAGTCAAACTGGATTAATGTCACAAGTAGGGTACCTCAGAGTTCAGTCTTAGGACCTTTACTTCTTTTTGATTTGCATCAGTGACATAGATGAAAGAATGGTCAATAAATTACTAAAACTTGCTGATGATATTAAAGTCATGGGTTTTGCTGGCTGTGAGGAAGATACTGCTGCTTTACAAAAAGATTAAGATTATTTAGAGAGTTACGCAAATAAGTGGCAGATGGGTTTTAATTATAATACATGCAAGATAATGCATGTAGGTTATCGCAATTTGAATTATAAGTATAGTTTGGATGGGAATAACCTTAACAGTGTTGTGAAAGAAATGGGTTTTGATGTAGGAGTTGATCAGTCTTTAAGTCATCCAATCATATGGTGGGGCAAATGGGATTTTAAGTTGTATCTACAGAAATATTAAATACAAGTATAAAGAGCTTATGATTTCATTGTATACGTCACTGGTTAGGCCACATTTGAAGTATTGTGTTCTGTCTTGGGCTCTTTACCTTAGGAAGAACATTGAAGTGTTGGAAATGGTTCAGAGGAGGGTTACTAGAATTGTGCCTTGGATGTAGGGTTTGTCATACGAGGAGAGGTTAAGATCTCTCAAGTTTTCTCTTTTAAAAAAAGAAGAGTTAGAGTGGATCTGATCGAGGTGTTTAAGATTGTTAGAGGGAATTTAGTGTTGATGCATCGTCTTTTTTTCATACTTAATGGTAAGAATTATAGAAAAAGAGGACACAAATATAAATTTTGGCAGGATAGGAGTAATTTTCAGTTACGAAAGCATTTTTTCTAACAGGGTGGTTGGCCTTCGAATGTTGTGGAAGCAGTAAATTTATACGAGTTTAAGATAAAGTTCGATAACTATATGAATGATAAGGGTTGGCTTTGAGCTTTTTAATTTATGTAATAGTTTTAGTTTAGTTTAGAGGATGGAACAACCTAAATGGACCAATAGGTCACTTGTTATCCCTAAACATTATGTTATGTTATTATGTTTTAAAGCACTTTATTATTATTCAGTCACTTAGGGTTTTTCCTTAAATATGTATAATGTATTTCAATAATACTTTTTCTACCATATCCATTACTGACGAAGCGTTTCGCTCAATTGCAGAGCTGGTCAGGCAATAGTGAGCATAATGCTATTTAATATAAGACATGTGTTACAGTAGCGACTATTATGGTGTGAACATCTTTTGG